TAATTTATTATTTCTTCAGGTAATATAACCTATATAATAATATATAATTCTCTTCCTGAGATCATTACTGATCTTATAGAAGCTTTTATTTTATTTAAGTTCAAATGACGTCTGACCTATCAAGACTCAACAATTTAAAATAAGAATTCGAGCAAGAGCAAAAATCTGCTGCCACATAGCCATGCAAAAATCTTCTCATGGTTACATCAGCTGTCATCGCCTAGACAGTGTCGCTTAAGAACCAATTAAAAGAGGTGACTTTGAAGGTAGAAAGTTTCGTCAATGATGCAGACAGAATTTGCAAGGGCATCATATCAACTCTTGAAGCCAAGTACTAGGAATATGCTAAAATTACCAAATTTTATCCTGAGCAGAAGCAGGGCATTCTTCTTGATATCAAGGACTACACTGATAAGTCTGTGTATAATGTGGAATTACTTAGGAAGACAGTTTGTGAATATGAAGAGAGTCTAATGAAGATAAACAAGTGGCGCCAGCCTAAACTAGAACTCAGTAAGGGAGTCTATTGCTTCAATGAAATCATAGCAGCAGCCCAGGATATCAGACTTGCTAACTTCTCTAATGCACTTGAGAATATCAACTCTGATTTATTCGCTCTTTAGCAGTTGGGTAGTAAAAACACTGAGATACTCAAGCTGATTGTTGACAAAGAGAACTATCTGTAGTTTGAAAAGGTAAAGACGTTTCCCAAATAGCTTAACTTGGTAATGACTCATAAGAATCGTATTATATGCGATGATTTCGTCTACACCTTCAGAGACGACAGTAAATTCGAATTGATTCAAGATTTCTAGCAAACTGACATTGCTTCAGGTCTAGTTCTGACTGATGATTTGCTGCTATTAGGTCACAGTTTATTTGCTAAGATGAGTCTATGGAAATGGAATGGAGAATAGTATATCAAGCTAGTCAAGCATTAGATTGTTAATATATCCAAGACTGTCGCTGAATTCTCTATTACAATGCTAAGAAGAGACCCCTTCACTGACTTGATTTGCTAGGTGTACGGTGTGTTTGGCTGCAATCAAATGTGCAGAGTATTGATAAATGGCAGGAACATGCGAGCCTCTGAGAAATTTAACATTTGCAAAAAGAATCATCTGATTGTTGATTATAGACCTCTTCCTGAAAAGCAAATAGCTGTGCTCTTCACACATCAGTTCGTTGTCATGGACCTAAAAACAAGGGCAAAGCTTGCTAATGTCAAGTTCCAAACTTCTTAGAACACCCTTATTATGCCTTTGAATTTCGACTTAGCTTTATTGCCAGTGATTATAACTAGAGACTTGAAAGGAAAATACCAGGTTTCAGATGTAATGAATAAGGGATTTGTAGGTATCATGCCTGAGAGACTATAGACTTTGCAAATAATAGCTCCAATTAACGGTATCAAAGATGACAGAGTTGTAGTGCTAGCCAATGATGTGAGAAATGCAGGCTAACTAGTACTTGTTTAATTGAACATATTCTGATGTAAACTAAAAGAAATTGACAAATTAGAATAAAAAACCAATCATCTAATTACACGCCATGGCAAGAGGAAGACCTAAGAAGATAGATATGATGAAGATAGAGTCTGAGATCTAGACTCCAACAATTGCTCCAACTAATGATTAGTAATGCAACTTTTTCATCTAGAAGTTGAATGAATCAGTCAATGAAGTCAATAAACTCAAAGAGTTGAAACTGATAATTAATTAGAAACTCGACAAGTTTTGTGATAACGCTTAGATCCAGACTCAATATATGGTCTGCAGATTAGAGGATAAAATGCGCTCCACCATGAGGTCAGAAGGAGGATCTAGCCAACAAACGCAAGATGTCTACCAACTGGTTGGGGAGTAAAATGGCTGTCTCGACTAGATACAGCAGTATATCAAGTACTATAAAACCCTTCTTGACAATATCAACCAAGTAAGCATCCCAAAGGATTTGTTCAGACGAGAAGTATCAGCACAAATAGTAGAAAGAGCCAAGGTAGACAATCTACTTAAGTATGAAAGTGAGGCATTTGTACTGAGTGACAATCTGTTTGCTCTGAAGCAGTTCAATGTGGACTTTCTAGATATATTTGGGGTGACTAAAAATGATGACGATGGTGGAGTATACTAAATATCTCTTTTATAAACACTGCCATAGAAAGTGTTCGTGGTCTTTATGCATGATGACAGAATAATATGCGATGACATAGTTTATGCAGTCAGTGGTAATGACGAGTTCGGCTAAATCCAAAACCTCGGTTAATATGATATTTCACATGGATGCGCTCTCTATGAGAACTTTATGATCTTGGGGCACAAGCATTACACTAGGTTGAGCATTTGGAATTACAATGGAGTGGGCTACCAAATGGTTCAGAAGAAGAAGATGCATAGATCTGGACCGTACGCTGACTTCTCTGTCACCAACATCAAGAAAGACCTGCTCAGTGGGGATCCCACTATGATATTCTGCTGCATGGGTAGGAATAATCTGTATCGGATTCAGATTGACATGAATGACATTTACCTCTGTAAGAAACAAAAGATAGTCAATAGAAGATAGCAACTGGTAGACTACAAAGCAATTGACAGCACTCATATGATAGTGCTGTTTGCAAGTGAAGTGCTCCTGGTTGACTATGTCAGCTCAGACACAAAAAGAGTGCTATCTTTAAAATCAGACTAGCTGTGCCTGGTAGTCCCTTATAACTTCAACATACAAAATATGCCAATAATTATAGTCAAAAATCCCAGTGGATACGAGATAGTAGATATATAGACTCAAACATCTCAAACGATTCTGAGTTCCAAAAATTTGACAGTGCTTAACACATTCAACATTGATGGCGATAAGCAGGATGAGACAATTGTTGTTGGATTTAATAATCCCTTGCAGACTGATTTTGGTCTGTTTCAAGTTAAAGTTATGTGATTTTAATTATTAAATGTATTTTCTTTTAATTAACTATTAACTTGTAGATATTTTATATTGCGGGGTTTTGGGGTTTTGGGG